TTATCATTTTGGTTATTGGTTTAAGAACTGCAGGTATTGTTATGTGTAAGTCATATCCATTGTATATTTTTTGTGTGTGTTGTGCATGTATTTTTATTTAAATAAATTTGTCTTATTTTTCATACAGTTGACTTTCTGTGTATGAATTGTTTCCATCATCATAAAACATGCAGCATGAAAGGATCAGATCCTGAGAAGTGCTATAAATATCTTCTGTCACTTGAAGTGACTTTGTAAATCTCAACAGGTTAGACAGTTAAGAAAAGCCCTTTGAAAACTGACTTGGCTTAAGGTTCCCAGCTTATGATCCATATACATATACTGTATATATTAGAACAGGGCTAATAAATTGGTAGCTTTTGTGGAGTTATATGTTTGTGTTACAGTAAACATTATTTTTTAATATGGATCAGGTAAAGTCAATATTGCTTTGTTAGAATGAATTCGCAAATAAATACATTGCCCACCCTGATGAATTAAGTCAAGTGATAAATTTTCATGTCTGGAACAGCTATTACTGGTGAAAGACAACAGAGTTTTCACATTGTCTCATATAATCTCTTTCAGCAGAAGGCACTCATGTTTTCAACATGAAATGCATCAAGCATAATTATATACCTGAGTGACTAAAATGAACTTTTATTTTGTCATATTTAATTTTCATTAAATATATAACTTTAAAAGATAAGTCAGTGGATACAAATACTATTAAACACATTTCAATGTGTTTTGTTTGATAGTTGGCATTGGTCTGTCTCGATAAGGTACCTTAGCACCTCCCCCTAACACTTCATACACCCCAATGTCTAAATAAATTTTAAAAATTAAAAATATTGCCTAGTAACACCTTAGAGACCCACTAAGTTTGTTCCGAGTACAGTGGTACCTCGGGTTACATACGCTTCAGATTACATACGCTTCAGGTTACAGACTCCGCTAACCCAGAAATAGTACCTCAGGTTAAGAACTTTGCTTCAGGATGAGAACAGAAATTGTGCAGCAGCGGTGCAGCAGCAGCGGGAGGCCTCATTAGCTAAAGTGGTGCTTCAGGTTAAGAACAGTTTAAGGTTAAGAACGGACCTCTGGAACGAATTAAGTACATAACCAGAGGTACCACTGTATAAACTTTCATGTGCATGCACACTTCTTCAGATACCCAGAACAAACTTAGTTGGTCTCTAAGGTGCTACTGGACAATTTTTTTAATTTATTTTGACTGCGTCGGACCAACACAGCTACCTACCTGAACCCCAATGTCTGATAGTATAAAACATACATTACTCCTTCAAAATGATTCTCCTTGCCTCAAACAGCTTGAAACTGAACAGCTAGCAACTAGTTAGATAATGAAATCTCTCTCTGTGTATTTAAGTCCTGTTGATTTCAGTGGCAGCAATCTTATATAAAACACGTCAATGAAATCAGTTTCACAGTTCGGCAAAATTATGAGGTCATATCAAACTATGGTTTTTGCAGAGAACCCCAAGCATGGTTTGCTTTCAACATGTACAGGTAACAATTACTAACACACCAGCCTTTGGAAGCCGGCATATATTAAATCAGGCCCTGGTTCATATAATTCATACAGCAAAGGGCATATCAGGATTTGGAAATTTGGCCCTCCAGGCATTGCTGGACTGCAACTCCCTCATCCTATGCAGCTTCATCATGCAGTGCCCTGGAGCAGATGCAGAGCACGTTCATTAATAGCTTGCCAGCAGCAGTGCCTTAGTTAATAAGAGGCAGTCTTGTGGGTATTCATGTGATAATCTTATCCAAAAGCAGAAACCACATACCTTTTGCCTTCAACCAGAAGCCCGCAAACCTTTTAATAATGCAGCTATCTTTGGCTACAGTTCATAATAAACAATGGAGAAAATAACCATATCTATTTCTTATTACGTCCTCTCCAACCCCAAAAAACAAGTTTGAAGCCATGTGTTGCTGTGATTCAAAAGCGTCTGCAAAATCTCTTCAGTCTTACCACTGTCTTGTACTTTTGCCAGACCTTATTTCATTACCTAAAGGAACATAAGTTACATCATGGATTAAAGAAACCAACTATTTATATAATGTAGGCACTTGAACCAAATGTCCATGTAGGTTTGGCTAATATATGGTGGTGGCAGCGGTGCATGTAGATGATGCATTTTAGACCCTGGTCTTATGGGGTGGCAGGGCTTCTTGAGATGGTCATGTGTATTACCTCAGTTAGTACGTCTGTCCTGCTTACTGCTGCAGTTGGGGGCCCTCGTGTTCATTCTGCTGAGTGGGATTCTGGACTTCAACCCCAAATCCTGCCCTGATCACACTACTGTGGGTAATAAGCAGGTAAAGTATAACATAGGAGAAACTGCCCCTTCTCATTTGCACTGTGCTGCTACATTTCTCCATATATATAGAGAGAGAGAGCTTGAGGAAAAGAAGCCCGACTGAGTCATAATTCAAAGGAAGTGATCATAATGCACTATAAATTTCAAATATATATTTAAGGCTACAATCCTAAAGGGCAGCACCCAAAGCCCTACTGGGCTGTTACCAGCAGAGAAATAGAAGCTGAGTGTTGGTGTGCTGATGACACTTCGCCCCACGACTCCCAAATAATTTTAAAAGAACTACCGTATTTTTCGCTCCATAAGACACACTTTTTCTTCCTAAAAAGTAAGGGGAAATGTCTGTGTGTCTTGTGGAGCGAATGCATGGTCCCTGGAGCTGAATTGCCCACGGGCAAAAAGCAGATCATGTTTTGTTTTGTTTTTGAAAGAGAGAAGTGGGTGTTGAAACAAAGCCGCTGATCGGCAAGCAATCGGGGAGCGAGATAAGGGACGCTAGCAATAAAGGAGGCTGCCTGGGAGGGGGGAGGTAAAGACAGCAAACTTGCAAGGAGAGGAGACAGGAAGACTAAAGCAATGAGGAGAGAAATTAGAAGAAAAGGAGGAGCAAAAAACTGCTCCAGCTAAGGAAAAGACACTAAGGCAAACAAGAAGGAAGGGAGTATTAAAAGAATGCAGCTGATTGGTAAGCGATTGGGGAAAGAGATAAGGGACGCAATAAAGGAGGCTGCCTGGGAGGGGGGAGGTAAAAGCCCATGGATCCTCAGGGTTTTTACATTGGGTCACCTCAAATTCACCATCAGATCACATAACATGTCCATGGCTACAGCCTGCATCAAAAAAATCACGCACCCACTTTTGCCTGGGGCCACAATGGCGCAAAAATGTGGTTACAAAGTACGGATCCACATGGATCCTCAGGATTTTTGCATTGGGTCACCCCAAATTCAGCATCAGATCACATAGCATGTCCATGGCTATAGCCTGCACCAAAAAAATCATGCACCCACTGTTGCCTGGGGTCGCAATGGCGCAAAAATGTGGTTACAAAGCACAGGTCCACATGGATTCTCAGGATTTTTGCATTGGGCTACCCCAAACTCACGGTCAAATCACATGTCTGCGGCCACACCATGAACCACAAAAATCATACATCCACTGTTTCGTTCAGAATATATATATATATATATATATATATATATATTTGTTTTCCTCCTCTAAAAACTATGGTCAGGTGTGTCTTATGGAGCAAAAAATACGGTATTTAATAGATGTTAAACTATTGCAGCAATTTCTTGAGAATGCACACTACTTGCCCCAGAAACATTCAAGGTATTCTCTTCTTCTGTGAGAAACAATAATATCTAATATTTTAGCTAAGTGGAAATTACAGACCTTTTGTGAAGCTTAACTACAGCTGCTGCAGTGATGTAGAAAAAATAAAAATAAAATGTCAAAAATAAGGGCTGGTAAAAACAACAACAACATTGAAGAACCCATTTATATTTATAGATTCAGGAGTATGTTAATGGACACCAGCAGGGAGGATGTGCATTCCAATGCATTTTTTTAAAAAAAAAATCCAACCCAACAGGGAAGCATCCTATGTATGCAATGCAGCTCTCTTCTGAATTAAACTTAAGTCAAGTCAATATTTATAGGCATGAAGGCCACAGTCATGGCACTTAATTTTCTCTGATCTTCAGACTGTTGAATTTTCCTTCCTGCTGTGCTCTCCTGCAGTTTATTTTTAACAGTTAATTTGTTCGGACATCATTAAAAAGAAAATCCTCTGGCTTCTAGTGGTAATAAGGCACCAAGTTGCCTGTCAAGCTCTTGTAAAAAGCAAGCTCTAGAAAACAACAAGAAGTTTCAGAGATAATGGAATGCTGACCTGTGCTGACAACTGGGAAGTATGAAAAGAGCCACACACCTGGAACTGGCTTCCTTATGCAGCCAGCTCTGCAAAACACTTCACCTGTTTACCGCTTTACCAAAAGTGCCTCTAAATTGTTATGGCTGTACTAGGCGCCTGCTCAAAACCTGGACAAGACCTAGAACAGTGGTTCTCAAAGGGTGTGACAGGAGAGGGTGGCAAGTGGGGCAGGAAGATTCAAGGACAATCAAAGAAACATTTAAACAGTATAGTATAGTATAGTATAGTATAGTATAGTATAGTATAGTATAGTATAGTATAGTATAGTATATAAAAATTATAATAAAAATTATATACAACCAGAAACAGTATCCTCTCTTCAATAGCATTGGCTACTCTTTTACAGCTCTCCATGACATATTGTTCCAAACAGGAATTTTCAGCTCTTGACAAAAATGAAATATCTGAAGAGAGGAAGGCTTCTTTGTGTTTGATGAGGAGATGAAAGTTTGTTTGCCTCAAATTAGACTTAATATAAATGAGATTACCTGGCAAAAGCAAGCTCACACCTCTCACTGAGTTTGTATACAGTGGTACCTCAGGTTACATACGCTTCAGGTTACATACGCTTCAGATTACGGACTCCACTAACCCAGAAATAGTGCTTCAGGTTAAGAACTTTGCTTCAGGATGTGAACACAAATCATGCTCCGGCGGCGCAGCAGCAGCAGGAGGCCCCATTAGCTAAAGTGGTGCTTCAGATTAAGAACAGTTTCAGGTTAAGAACGGACCTCTGGAACGAATTAAGTACTTAACCCGAGGTACCACTATACATACTTAAGGTTCACATGTAAGAGGCTCATTTATACAGTGGTACCTCGGGTTAAGTACTTAATTCGTTCTGGAGGTCCATTCTTAACCTGAAACTGTTCTTAACCTAAGGTACCACTTCAGCTCGGGGGACGCGGGTGGCGCTGTGGGTAAAACCTCAGTGCCTAGGACTTGCCGATCGCATGGTCGGCGGTTCGAATCCCCGCGGTGGGGTGAGCTCCCGTCGTTCGGTCCCAGCTCCTGCCCACCTAGCAGTTCGAAAGCACCCATAAGTGCAAGTAGATAAATAGGTACCGCTTTATAGCGGAAAGGTAAACGGCGTTTCTGTGTGCTGCGCTGATGCCGGCTCGCCAGAGCAGCTTCGTCACACTGGCCACGTGACCAGGAAGTGTCTGCGGACAGCGCTGGCTCCCGGCCTCTAGAGTGAGATAAGCGCACAACCCTAGAGTCTGTCAAGACTGGCCCGTACGGGCAGGGGTACCTTTACCTTTACCACTTCAGCTAATGGGGCCTCCCGCTGCCGCCGCGCCACCGCCACACGATTTCTGTTCTCATCCTGAAGCAAAGTTCTTAACCCGAGGTAATATTTCTGGGTTAGTAGAGTCTGTAACCTGAAGTGTCTGTAACCTGAGGTACCACTGTATGTTGGGAAAGATTCATGTTCTTATGTAGCTGCATTGTTTTATATGGTCTGGATGCCCCATGATCATATTATTAAGTAGTTGTGCTCTATGTTATAAAATCAAGCACTGCTAGTTGTTGTTTCTTTTTGTTTCCCAATGTATTACTTATCAATAAAGAATTTGGTCTGTTTGGCTTCCATCCCCGCTAGCTTCCTCAGATGCCAACTTATTTTATTAACTAGCATCCTTAAAGTTACACAAAAAGCAAATATAGCTGTGTTGACCCATAAGAAAAATGCCAACAATCTGTATGTGGGCAATATCTTTTCCGGCCAACCAAAATATCACAGAAGCAGCATGCATGCTTTCAAGCTCTCCATAGCTCTTCATCAAGCTAGATCATAAAAATATGAGAGGTGTGTGCTTGGGCGATCTGTGTCTACATCTGGTAAAAATCTTAAGATAGGAGTGTGGGAAGTAGGAGGCATTCAAATGAGGCTCTTTTTAGGTGCTCTGCAGGTGTCAAGCAGCCCTGCAGCCTCCTGGAAGGTGGAAACACACCATGACAGAGTCTCCATCTCTGGAAATAAAACCACCAGCTGGTACCCAGTTCTGTCTCCATCCTTTGATGAAAGACACATGTTCCTTGGTTACTGGAAGATGCTGCTTAATGAATATGGATTTTTAATTGGAGGTAATGAGCTGGATGAATTGCTGTTGACAATTCTTTAAATGCTTTTTTTCCCACAAGGATCAAATATTCAGAAAAGAAATATATTTTGAAAATACGTCTGAAACTTTTATAGTGCAATCTCATTCATATTTACTCACAGGGAAGTCCTACCGATTTCAATGGGACTTCCTCCCAAGTAAGTGTGCACAGGACTGTAACTTTAGCTGATAAATTGTTTTAACATATTTTGATGACCTAACATATTTTGATGACTGGGTGGCCAGTTTGTAATACAAATAGTCCTAAAACTGCAATTGCCAATCTTCTGCCTTTCTTTAAAGCAGGAGTCAGCAACCTTTTCCAGCTGTGGGCTGGGTTACCATCCCTCAGACTTTGTGGGGGGCCAGACTATATTGGGGAGGGGGAATGAACGGATTCCTATGCCCCACAAATAACCCAGAAATGCATTTTAAATAAAAAGACACATTCTACTCATGTAAAAACACCAGGCAGGCCCCACAAATAACCCAGAGATGCATTTTAAATAAAAGGACACATTCTGCTCATGTAAAAACACGCTGATTCCGGGACTGTCCGTGGGCCGGATTGAGAAGGCAGTTGGGCCGCATCCAGCCCCCGGGCCTTAGATTGCCTACCCCTGCTTTAAAGAGTCCCTCTCTTGTGTGAAAAAGGAAGAATACCATTCTCCCTCCCCCACATGTTAGGCATAAAGAAGCATAATTACTGGGAGGTGATATTCCTGGAGATACATCTAGGAAGGGAGGGACTGACTTTGCATTCTGTATTACCAGATGCACTGGAAGGAAAGCTGAACAGGGACCACAACAGCAGAGAAAGAGTTAAAGTCCCCTAAATACATCACACCAGTCTCCCAGTTTGGACTGGGTGCCATGTGCCTACTATTTCCTCAAGAAAAAATATTGCACTTGCTAATTGTGTGAATGGTGTCATGTTGAATTGTGCTGCTAACTATGGTTAGAACTGGTTTTGTTCCTTCCCGTTCCTGCAGTCAGGGGTGGGGGCTGGCATAATAGACTACAGTATAATGTAAACATAACTTTTATATGCACTGCAAAAGCAAAAGCAAAAGTGGCCCACTTTACGGCAGTATTTGCTTTATTGCGGAGGTCTGGAACTAAACCCACAATATCTCTGAGGTATGCCTGTTTCTATACATGGCTCTGCATGCTTGGATAGGTGGTTTCATCTCAAGTGGCAATGGGACGGGTTATTTTTCTCACCCTGCAGAAGGTCCTCAAAAGAAATTGGCAGGAGGGAAATAAGGTGGTGCTTTTAAACTTGTGGTATATTGCATTGCATTTTATCAGCTGTGCACTTGCATTGAACTTTGAGAATTAGTATCTTGTTCCAGTTTCTTGGCTACCCCTCTGCATGGCAGAATGAGATCTTTGTGGCTGAATGCTGGTACGTCATTGAATTTATGATGGTATTGACTATGACAAACAACTTTAGAGAGAGAGCAAAGAAAACTGAAAATATACTTAATATATATTACCACTTACTCCAGCTCCAGCACACTCCCACTGCTAGTGTTAAAGCCAGGGAGGCTTGCTGGCGCTTTCATTCCACCTCTTTAGGCACCAGGTGAAAATGTTTCTCTATAATCAAGCCTTTGGCTGATTAAACAATCTATGGCCTTTCAAGTGTGTTTGTGGGTTGGGGAGGTAATGAGTTGCTTTTGTGTTTTTGTTATGTGTTTTGTGTTCATATTTTGTATTTTTATGTTGTGAATTGCACCGTGATCTGTGGATGAAGGGCAGTATACAAATTTAATAAATAATAATAAAATAAAGTCAAATACATATGGCATTAGCCACAATCAATTTGTATCCCATAGAAATACGCCTGTTTGACAGACTTCTAAAACCTACTTCTATTTGATTAGAAAATGGAAGTCTCAATTAAGCTGAGGTTTGTACAGTTCAGACGAGCAAGTACAGGGGACACCTTCAGTGAATTGGAACTCGGCGCAAGGGATACAAGTTAGGCAATGGGCATTGAGTGAGGACATCCCTGCTCCCTCTCTGGTCTGCATAGCAACACAAGAATGAGACACAGTGGGGCAAAATAACTTCAATGTATTTCAAGCATCTATTGCGTACACTTAGTTCATACTAGAAGAGAAAATAATCTGCACCACATTGCTACATTGGTTCAATGACATTTACTTTGTATGTTTTGACAAGTAATGTTGATTCATCACTGCTTTAATTGAGTGCACTACAAAAGTAAAATTTTGGCTTTCAATGTCAACAATTTATTCTCTGCATTATCCCACTTTATCACAACTGTCAACGTTCAGATTGATCCCGGTTAGCATAACTACTCCATGAATGCATGACATGCTTTCTAAACGTCTAACTGTGCAATGCAAACCCCAGATCTGCCAGGGTTCCAGTTTTGGTTCCAGCGCATCTAGGCCTGTCTTGGCTCAGCTTGGTCTACAGAGATTCAAATGTCCCCCTCCCACTCCACTGGTTCAGCGGGTGTAACTTCAGCCAACATAAGCTCCTTAAAAGGGGGTTTGGCAGGCTGTGGCAGAGGCAGGAATGCAGAAGGAGAGACATGCCAATTCCAAACCTCCTTAAGCTCATTCACATAGCTTGGAAACTTGGCAAAAGTTATGCTGGCAAAAATAGTGGTGAAAATCAGAGTTCCTCACAGAAATTAATGTGATGTGCTCAATTCTGAAAATTCAAGGCCCAAGTCTACCTGCTGGACACACCCTCACTGGTCAGAAAGAGCACTCTGGTTATGAAACAACTCCCAGCCAATCAGAGGCAAACACCACCAAGCTATAAGCTGAGCACTATCCAGCCTCCTTTCACATCTTGCTTCTTGTGTGTGGCATGCTGCCATATGAGCGTTGGGGTGGGGTGGGGGCTCAAAGCAGCTGGGTCAAGGGCACTAGAGAAACACTCCACTTTGAACAAAATGAGGAACAAACAATGTCTTCATGCCAACACTTCTCCCACAAGCTTTGCTCTCTAGCAGAAACTCTGGAGAACCACAGCAGCCAACACCCATGAGGAACATCTGGAAACACAAGGTTGGTCTGGGAGCAGAGGAGGACTCCCCAGGAGGAACCCCATTCCCAGCCCCGGACAAACAGGGCTGGCAGCAATGGCAAACAGACTGTCCACTCCATGGAAGTGTCATCCCCAGCTCTCTACACAGCCCTCCATGCCAAGGGCCACACTCAAGCCCTGAGTCTGAGTATGTGAACATGCTGTCGCCACAATGACATCCCACGTACCAGCCCCCACAACTGTTTGCTGTGGGCTTCCCTTGCAGGTGAGCAGGCACCATGGCTTGCTAGGCCCAGGGCTGCTCCTGCAACCAGCTATCCTCAATTATCACTGCACTTTCATGTTACCTTGCGGAAGCACAGCTACAGTAGTCCTAGCAGAAGTTACAAAAACAAGCACCCCAGAGGAGGGACCAAGATCCACCAAGAGGCACACAGACACATTCAGCAAGCTAAGCAGGATTTAACCCCACTTGTCAGATCTTGAGTGGCACTTAAATCCTGCTGTGTGGGCTGGATACTGGGAACAGGCACCTGCAGCCAATGCAGTCTTGACATTGGCTGAATTGATACTGATCGCAAGTGATGTCGGCTGATTGGCAGGTAGGTGTGATTTATAGGAAATGACTTTGAGGACCAAGACTGGTCTGCGGGCTAGAGATTTCCCACTCCTGGATTATGCCATCTCTCATTTATGCACCACCTGCTGAAGACACCCAC